CTGTGACAGAGGAGACCCTGAGACCGGAAGGTGCCACTGCAGCCAGACCCCCTGATCTGACCCGGCAGTACAGACCAATGACCTGGGTCCTTGTCACCATCCTAGCTCTGCTGGGCACGTTCTTGACCTGAGGGCCTCAGTTTCCCTGGCTGCAGAGTGAGCCTGAGAGAAGACATCTGTCACGGAGCTGGGTGGGAACTGCAGTGACGCACATTCCTGACAGAGCGCCTGGCGAGGCTGCTGCTAGTCCGCCTGTCACTCGCCTTATTTTTAGAGCATCTCACTTTTTTTTTTTTGACATGGTCCCACTATGCAGCCCAGGTTGGCCTCAAAGTCGAGGCCATCGTCCTGCCTCAGCCTCCCGAATGCTGGAGTGCCAGGTGGCCGGGCTCTCACCCTTTTCCTGAGAATGCTTCACAGGGACACCTGAGTCTCCTCTAGGGCAGGCGAGAGGGCATCCTGCCCCGCCCTGCCTCTGTCCCAGCTCTTCTCCCCTGCCTCCCGCCCCCTCTAGGTCACACCAAGCCAGCCTGTCCCTACCCCATGGCGCTGCCCAGCTGCTTGGGCCCGAACAACGGCACCCATGAGGCCTGCCTGACCTGTGGTGGCCGGGCCTGTCCTGGGGCTGTCAGGAGGAGCCGCTCCTCTGCTGCTATCTGTGGCTGCAGCTGCACCCCGCCCAGTCTTTGAATAAACAGCTCCTGCTGCCCTGTTATCTTGGGCTCTGGGAGGAGGCCCTGCGAACCCAAGATACAAGTGGCCTCCGAACTGGGGAGTCACAGCTCAATGTGGGCAGAGGCGGTCGGAGCTCATGCCAGACGAGGCCCAATATAGCAGCCTCAGAGCTGGCCCTGAAGTCGGCCTGTCATTACCCAGGGTGGGTCAGCCCAGGCTGTGTCCTCCCCATGGCCACCAAGAGTGTGCATGTGCATGTGTGGAGCAAGAACCACTAAGAGCAGTGACGAAAGTGATGTTTCCAGAATGTAAATGTGGGCCAGGGATTTGGCTCAGTGGCACTGCACCTGCCTCACAAGGGGAAGGTCCTGAGTTCGATCCCAGTACCAGAAAAAAAATGCAAATGTGCTGGGTGTGGTAGTGCACCCCTGTAATACCAGCACTTGGGAGGCTAAGGCAGGAAGATTATCATGAGTTCAAGGCCAGTTTGGGCTGCATAGCAAGACCCTGTCTCTAAAAAGAAAAGCCAAATGTGATTGTGTTACTCCCTGATGCCAAACCTTCAGTGGTCCCTTTGAGCCTACGGAAGAAGCTCAAACCACTCTCACCACCCCAGGACCTTTGCACTAGCTTGCCCACCTTTGACACTGGCCTCCTCTCCATCTGACTCCTGTTTATCCTACAGGTCTCAGCTTAGAAGCCATTTCCCATGGCCCCTGACCTACACTCACTTCCTGGTTCTCCCCTTGGAGGTGGGGTGGCCCTCCTGAGTCCCCAGAGGGACAAAGCCAAGTCAGTGCCCTGTCTCCCTAGCCAATTGTTAGTCCCTTGCTATTGTAGTTGAGGCTGACCTTGAACTCCTGGTAGTTCTCCTGCCTCAGCCTCCCAAGTGCTGGGATTACAGGCGTGTGCCACCACACCTGGCTTCCCTTCTGATTCTTTCTTTCTTTTGTTTTTTTGAGACAGGGTCTCACTATGTGACCCAGGCTGGGCTCAAACTCATGGTAATCCTCCTGCCTCCGCCTCCTGAGTGCTGAGATTACAGGTATGTGGCACCACACTGGGCCCCTTCTGATTTCTTTCTTTCTTTTTTTTTTTTTTGGTACCGGGGATCGAACTCCGGTCCTTGCACTTGCGCAGCAGGCGCAAAACAACTGAGCTAAATCCCTGGCCCCCCCTTTTGATTTCTACACGGCTCTCCCCTGCTCCTGCTTCAGCTTTTGCTTCCTGTCCCCTTTCCTGGTGGCCCTGTTTATGCTGAGCCCTCTCCCCCACGTGGCTTTATTTGTCTGCAGGGTGGGCCCTGCTGTGGGACACTCTCCCGCCTGTATCCCTGCCTTACCGTCGGCTTGCTTTATACAGAATGGAGCCCGAGGGGCCCTGATTTGCTGCAGTATGATCCTGTCGCTCACCCCCATCAGCAGGTAGACCACAGCATTTCCTAAGCCCAGGTGTATTCCAGCGGGGACAGGCTAGCCACACCTGTCACTCTCGGTGGCCGGCAGCCCTCGCTCCTGCCCCTTGGCTGCTTCCCAGCCATGAGCCTCAGAACCACACCTTGACTGTGAGGCCCCTTTACTTCCTGGTCCACCAGAAGGGGCCCGCTCAGGGCCACGTCGGAGGCCACTACAATCGCCACCTCATACCTGCCACATAGCAGATGCTCAAGAAAAAGGTGGTTGGGCACTGCAGGAGGCTGAGGCAGGAGGACGGCAAGTTCAAGCCCAGCCTGGGCACCTTAGTGAGACCCTGGCTCAAAATAAAAAATAATAAAGGGCTGGGGATGCAGCTCAGTGTGAGGCTCTTAGGTTTAATCTCCAGTACTGAAAACAATAACAACAACTAGGTGTTGGAATGATTTTCCCTAAGGTGCAGTGGCCTCCTGCGAGCAGCAGTCGGGCCCCTGCCCTTCCTTGAGGCCTGGGGCTGAGCAGCTTCTCCTGACCCCACCTACCCTGAGCCCTCTGCCAATTCCCTGCCTCCTGGCAGGACCACAGCCCTGAGGTGGGCACGAAGGAAGACCGCCCCGAAGTGTCACGTCCGGGTCAGCACCGCAGTCCCCAGTCTGGAGGGGCGGTCAGAGCGGCTCCGGAGTCGGGCAGCAGCACAACCCAGGCGCGGAGTGCTCGTGTGCGTGTGCGTGCGTGCGTGCACCTGCGTTGCCAGTGCTTGGCCCTGCCAGAGGCGCTGCCCCAGGACCGCGGTGCCCAGATGGCTCCTGTGGTCCAGACACAAGGTTCCTCTTTCGGGCCAGAGCCAAGAGCGCTGGGGCCTTCCCCACCCAACCAGGCGGGGGCGCTGATGAGCACAAGGGCCCGGGCAAGCCCTGCACCAGTGAGGGAAGTTCCCAAGGGAAATGCATCTGGGTGATAAATGCTTAGTACACACAGCAGGGCTCATCTGAGAGAGAAGGAAGAGAAAAGGGGAAGGAGGGAGGGAGGGAAGGAAGGAAGGAAGGAAGGAAAGGAGAGAAAAGCTGGCTGAGGTCAAAGGATCTGGATTCAAGCTTCATGCGGACCCTCCTGGTGCATGACCTTGCACTTGCACTAACCCCTCTGGGCCCGCTTTTCTTGTACTTTCAGGAAGACACTGAATTGCAGTGTTTCCTAGGCTACCAAGCGTGCTAAACATGAGGACTTTTTTTTTTTTTTGACAGTCTTACTATGTAGCCCAGGCTGGCCTGGAACTCAGGCCAATCCTCCCGCCTCAGCCTCCAGAGTGCCAGGATGACAGGCATGCAGCACCATGCCCAGCTAGGGGGACTCTTATTTTGAGTGAACTCTTTATTTTAGTGGGCAACTGGAAGTGGGCTGAAGCACCATGTGCAGATCACCCTGACCCAGAGCCTTGGTTTCCATCAACACAGACCTCCAAAGGCTGAAGATTCCGGGCTGGGCAGCTTCCTCTGGGGAAGGTGAAGGTGTGAAACGGCCGAGGCTGGCCCTGCCCTTTGTGACCACATCGGGTGTCAGGTGGTTGGTTACAACATGCCAGACGGTGCTGGCTCAGTCTTATTCCAGCTCTGAGACAATGCCCAGCACCCTGGCCAGACCCAGAATCCTACAGCCACCCAGGCAGCAGAGTTACCCAAACTGGGCGGGTGGTGCACGCCTGTGATCCCGGCACTCGGGAGGCTGAGGCAGGAGGATCACCCCAAGTTCAAGGCTAGCCTGGACTACATATCCAGGCCTTGTCTTAAAAAATAAAATAAATAAAAGATAGGAATGCTAGAAGCCATCTTCCGGTGCCCCTCAGGGAGGGCATGCCCAGGAGCTGCCCCCTACCTGCTCCTCTGCAGGGGGACCGTGTTGCTGAACGATGCTGTCCCTCCTGTCACCTGTGTGCCTCCCGCAGTAACGGTGATGCTGCTGCCAAGCACTGGAGGCCACGTTCCCGTGTTCCTGGCCTCTTTGGCTCTAACACCGTAGCCCTGAGCAAGTGAGTCACCTCCGTGAGGACCATGTGCAGAGCCTGTCCCTGTCGCCGGAGCCAGGGTTCACTCGGAACTTGAACAAGCCCTGTCCCCTCACGTGACGCCATCCAGGCAAGCCAGCAGGGCCAAGTGCCCCAAGGGGACTTCACACCCAACAGCAGCCTCCCCTTGCCCCAGGCCCCGTCTTCAGGCCCAGGACTGCTCAGCCAGCCTGCTCACTGACTCAGGCTAGAGGGAAAGTGAAGAAGGTTGGGAGATGCCGGGGGCTCGGTGTTGCATGCCTGTGATCCCAGCACTCAGGAGGCTGAGGCAGGAGGGTCGCCATGAGTTCAAAACCAGCTTCAACTACATTGAGAGACCCTGGCTCAAAAAACCAAAAGATTTCAACACAGGGAGAAACAGGCATGAACTGGAGGCGGACAGCGGGCCCCAGGAAGTCATCTGTCCGCCCTCCTCGCCCAGCAGTGCATTTGGAAACAGGGCTGCCCTTGCATCAGAGAGGCTGCTTCTGAACTGAAGCCTTCCCCAGCACTTCGTGACCCCAGCAAGTGGCTCAGCCTCTTGGAGTCTCCATTTCCTTGTCCCAAGCAGGGGACAATACTGCAGCCACCGGTTATTGTGAAGATTAAATGAGGACACTCAAGAAGCACTAGCTGGGAGCCAGGATGTAGCAGGGCACTTGTTACACTGAACAACAAACACGCAGGCGGAGCTGGGTGTGGTGGCACATGCCTGGAATCCCAGCACTCGGGAGGCTGAGGCAGGAGGATCACTGTGAGTTCAAGGGCAGCCTGAACTACATAGAGAACTTCTCTCAAAAAAACAAAAACAAATGAGGGCCTGGGATTTAGCTCAGTGGTTCTGGCACCTGCCTCGAAAGTGCAGGTCCCGAGTTCAATCCCTGGTACCAAAAAAAACCCCAACGAAAACAAATGAACAAAAAGCCCCCAACAGCAACAATAAACATGTCATGCCTCTTGTGTACTGGGATCTATACACTAGCAAATAAGTTGCTAAACTGCCCAGGCTGGGGCTGGAACTTGTGATCCTCCTGCCTCAGCCTACCCAGTGCTGGGATTATAGGCGTGCACCACCATGCCCAGCAGGTTTGAACTCTGGGGCAAACCATCTCTCCTGGGTGTTCTGAACCTTCACCCAAAAGTGTGGCAAAACTAAAGACAGAAAAGTCCTCCTAGGACACAAAGCATCCAAGTGTGTGGAAAAACCCAGGTTCCAACAGGGCTCCCTGCGGCCCTTGGCGACCGCATGCCCACCCTGCCCTCCAAATTTCCACACTTGGCCCCTTCTGCTTCTCCAAGAGCCTGGCTATGTAGCCTAGGGTGGCCTCGAACTTGCGGTGATCCTCCTGCCTCAGCCTCCTGGGATGCCAGGCGTGCACCTCCACACGGCTAAGAGAAAATGGTTTTTTATTCACCCCACTGGCAAGGGGGCACCCGGTGGGTCCCCCAACTCTGCTCACGGCGGAGCAGGGGAGTCCGGGGAAAGGCCCGGCCGCCCGCGTCCCCACCCGACTGGGCTGAGCTGCGCCCGCGGAGGTGATCTCTGCCAGTCCCCGCGGGGTGCGGGTGTGGGGACCGGGACGCCCCGCTCTGCCCTCCCCGTGGCGCCGAAGCCACCTTCGCTCAGCTCCGAGCCCCGAGGGCGTGGCCCTCAGACTCCGCCCCCGGAGCACCGCCGGCGCCGCGCTGATTGGGCGGCGGATTGTGACGTCGGGGACTGCGGCGGGCCCGGCTGCTGCAGCTGCCGCAGCGCTGGCCGCGGCTCGGGCTCCGGCGCCCGGGCACTTAAAGGGGACGCGGTGGCAGCGGCGGCCGGCGGGAGGAGGGATGGGGACAGGTGGGGGGGCCGTCAGGACTCACATCGTCCACAGTCCCTGGGGCCCGGAGGGCGTCCTGAGCCCGAGCCCAGGAATCCGGGGGCGGCTGAGACACCGCGTCCCCGACCCCCGCAAGCACCCTGCGCCCACAAACCGTAGCTGCCCCCACTCCTGAGCCTCCGAACTCAGCCGGGACGGACCCCGCTGCGCCGCCCCACGTGAGTCCGGGGCTCCGGAGTGGGGGGAGCCGGTCCCCCGCGGGGTGGGGGCCCCCAGTTCCCTACCCGGACCCCTAGCTCCCAGCGCGCGGGGTCCCCGAGCTGCACCCCCGCTCAGCAGGGGCACGGCGCCCGCCGGCTGGGGTGAGCCAGGAGCCCGCTCCCCGGTCACCTAAAAATATCTCCCCACCCCACCGCAGCTGCCACCCGCTGCCCGGGCTCGGCTCCTCTCTGCTTGGCCACCGGGCAGGGACGCTCCGGAGGTGACTTCAAGTCCCAGGCACCCTCCCCCCGCACCAGGGCACGGGTCGTTGCAGGTCGTTGCCCCCCGCTGGCCGGGACAGCAAGCTGCCAGCCTCCAGGCAACTCGGGGAGCAGGAGGGCGAGCCCCGGAGACCCCTGAGTTCGAACCCTGACTTTGTTGCTGCGCAACCCCCACGATGTCAGCATGGGCTCTCTGAGCCGCCCCTCGTTCCTGTTTGCTGTATAGGTTTGGGGAACTAGGGAAGTAATGGAGTTAGGGTGCCGGCTGGTGCTGGGGGGGGGGTCTTGTTTGTGATCGAGGGTAGGAGGGCGTGTGATGGCTAGGAGCTCTCGCCCCTCATACTCATCGTGAGAAACTATAGGAAAACTTTCCTGGGGGTTCCACTCCCAAGAGGAAAGGAATTGCAAGCTTAGGACCCTCCCCTACCCTGTGGCGAGGTAGGAGGGGTCGGGCGGAGCGGATCTCGGGTGGGACTAGAAATGGACCCCTGGCTTCCCAGAAACCTCACTCTCTACTCCTGCTCCAGGAGGGAGCAGCTCCGAGATCGCGCCTTTGAGACTTTGCTGACCACCAAGGGATCCGGGTCATTCAGGACAAAGCTGCAGGAGGTGAGTGACAGCCTGGGGAAGGGTCTCCCCAACACTGTGAGGCTCCACAGCGGGGGCTCTCAATCTCTGGCTTTCTGCTTTGGAGACAGAAATAAACTATCTGTTAATAAACTGTTTGGGAAAGGCACCAAACAGTAAGGGGATTTAACCAGCCAGGTGTGGTGCCTGGAATCTGGGAGGCTGAGGCAGGAGGATCACAGATTTGAGCCCAGGGGGCTGAGTGTGTATCTCAGTGATAAAGCTTAGCCTGCTTGAACATCTGTTTCTGCTTTCTCTTTTTTTGTCTTTCAGAGAGGGTCCCATTAGTTCAGGCTGGCCTCGGACTCATGGGGACCCTCCTGTCTCAGCCTGTCCAGGGCTGAGATTTATGTGCCACCAAGCCTGCCCTGAGGCCCTGGGCTTGATCCCCAGAAATACATACAAGTTGGAGCCCAGTTTAGGCAATTTATCGGCTTAGCAAGACCCTGTCTCAGAACAAAAGAATTGAAAAAGATTAGGGGTATGGTGGCACACGCCTGTAATCCCAGCACTTGGAAGGCTGAGGCAGGGAGATCAATATGAGTTTGACGCCAGCCTGGGCTACATAGTGAGTTCAAGGCCAGCCTGAACTGCATAGTGAGTCTTTGTCTTTAAAAAATGAAATATAAAAAGATCAGGGATGTAGCTCAGTGTGAAGGCCAAGGGTTCAATTCCCCAAACGGAAAACAGAAGCAAACACAGGAGGGCGAAGTGAGACCCTTTTCTCTGGGTTGCAAGGGGGTCTCAGTGTGGCTGCTGGGGTGTAACCCTTGTCTCCGTGCCCTCCCCTTGCCCAGTCCCCTGGGCCTGCTTTCGCCCTGGGCGTGGTGCCCCGCCCCGACCTTTCTCCTCGCCCTCTGACCGGGCAGATACGCTGTCCCGAGCCTCCTCCCTCTCAACTCTTCCTAAACCTCGCCGCTCACCCCCTCCCACTCTGCCCCGTTCCTCCAGCTCCCTCTCCCAATTCCTAGGCTAAAAGTTTTTGGGGGAAAACCAAGGCCCACGTCCCGTGCCCTACTGGGTTCGGCGCATGCGCAGTCAGGGGCGCCCTGGGGGGAGGCGCTCCAGGCTGTGTCCTCCCGGGCTGTCCCGGCTGCATCTCCTGCGGCTCTGGGATGGCCGCGAGAGTGTCACCTTGGCAGTCAGAGTTTACAGTGCCACCGTCACCACCAGAGGGCAGCAGCCAACCAGACTTTGTTCCAAGTCTAGCCGGCTTGTCACTATCTTTCCAGTTCTTTTTTTCTTTTTTGAGACAGGGTCTGGCTATGCAGTCCAAGCTGGCCTTGAACTCTCAGTGATTCTCCTGCCTCAGCTTCCCAAGTGCTGGGATTACAGGCATGAGCCACCCTGGCCAGCTAAAAGTGCTGTTTTTGAGATGTGGCTGCCCCTCCTGGCGGGTGACCTTAACTTATCTAGGTCTCCATGGGCAACCTCTCTGCTGTGCCGGGGACAGGTGCCTCGTGGCCTGTATTTGCTCGTGTGTGCCCCCTTAGGGCTTGTGTATGCTAAGCCCCTGAGGAGACAGCCAGGTGGGCACAAGAGGTGGCAGCAGCACTAGCAGACTGGGTCCCTTAAATAAATGGGCTTTTGTGATCATCAGGAGCTGAGTAGAAGCCAGGAGTCCCTAGAGCTGGTGCCCAGGGTGACCCAGTGACCATGAGCAGCTGTCTTCCTGTCACCAGGCTCCGATGCCTGACCAAAGTAAGTGGGTGACTCCGGGAGGCGGCCCCAAGCCCCTCTTTTCCACGGACTTCCCCTATCCCTGGAAGCCTCCCTGCAGGTCCGGGGTTCTGATTCTTTAGGTCTCCAATCCCAGGGGTCCCAAGCCAGGTGCTGGGACTGAGGATGACTGAGGGACAGTTCTGTTAGGCAGGTAGCCAGATTTGCAGGTCTGCTGAGGCCATGGGCACCCCAGGGGTGTGGGAGGAGGGGGCCAGGGTGTGGGCTGTGATTGTACAGGGCCTGGTCCTCTGGCCCTCGAATGCACATCAGCTGTCAAGCAAAGGTGAGAAGGACGAGGTGCTGGGGCTTTGCCTGCCTTTCTCTGCCTCACTTCCCCACTGTCCCCCTGCACCCCGCCTCTGGCCAAAGGTCCTGCTGCCCTCTCTGCTTCCTGTCCAGCCGTCTCCTGCCACACACCTGTAGCATGTCTTCCTCCTGGATGCCCCCCGTGTCCCCTCCTCCTCTGCCTCTTCAGCCACTGCTGCCTTTACTCCTCTGCCCTACCTGTCCCCCAGGTGTGTCTCTGCCTGGCTCGGAAGGCTCCCATCTTCCCCAGCCTTCCTGCTGCCCGCTTGCTTCGGATTCTGGCAGAAACCCCGCCCACTCACCTGCTCCTCCCGGGGAATTGGCAAGTGACCAGTGGTGCGCTCCCTGTCAGCACAGGGGCCTAGGGAGCCATGGAGAAGCCCTGTCCCCTCCCAGGGCCCCTGTCCAGCACCATCTGCCTATAGCAGCTCCGAGAGAGCCACCCTGTCATGCTGCGGCTGAGGCCCAGGGCCCTGGCTCTCCAGGCCTGGCCTTACTCCCCCGAAGGCCTCGGCCTGGCACTGTTGTCCACAGCTAAGCTCCTGGGGCTCAGCTAATTGCTTTCCACTGCAGTCCCAAGAGCCACTGACCCCACAGGGATGGAAGGTAGAACAGGAGGCTGCTCCAGCTGGCACGTGTGTGGTTTCCTGGCTGTGCTGTGTCCAGGAGGGAGGGAACCGGGTGTTGTCACCACGCCCTATCCACGACCTACCCAGGGTGCCACCGCAAGTCTCCACATGGGCGGCCCAGGCCACCCTTCCCTTGGTTGAAGTTGACACTTGTTAAGTCCCAGTGGCCCCGGAAGGGAGTGGCAGAACCAGGAGCCAGGGAGGCCATATGGGTTCATCTCCAGGGTGGTCCCGGGAACATAAGCCCAGCACGGTTTGGAGACAGGCAGGGGCGGGGGAGGAGCCCGGTGCCACTGCACTCCGCTTACCCAGGCTTGGGTCCTCCTCAGGTCTCGGACGTGCCGGTGCCCCTGGCCGCGGCCTAACCAGCCCCTCCCCGGCCGGCTGGCGCCGTGCCACCTCTCGCTTGTCTCCTCCTGCTGCTCCTGTCCCCCCCACTCCCAGGACGGCAGGATGGCCGCGCAGGGCACGCCGCGCTTCCTCCTGACGTTCGACTTCGACGAGACCATCGTGGACGAGAACAGCGATGACTCGATCGTGCGCGCGGCGCCGGGCCAGCAGCTGCCCGAGAGCCTGCGGGCCACCTACCGCGAGGGCTTCTACCACGAGTACATGCAGCGCGTGTTCCGGTACCTGGGCGAGCAGGGCGTGCGGCCGCGGGACCTGCGCGCCATCTACGAGGCCATCCCGTTGTCACCAGGCATGGGCGACCTGCTGCAGTTCGTGGCCAAGCAGGGCTCCTGCTTCGAGGTCATCCTCATCTCCGACGCCAACACCTTTGGCATTGAGAGCGCGCTGCGCGCCGCCGGCCACCACGGCCTGTTCCGCCGCATCCTGAGCAACCCGTCGGGGCCCGACGCGCAGGGCCAGCTGGCCCTGCGCCCCTTCCACGCGCACGGCTGCACGCGCTGCCCCGCCAACATGTGCAAGCACAAGGCCCTCAGCGAGTACCTGCGCGAGCGCGCCCGCGATGGCGTGCACTTCGAGCGCCTCTTCTACGTGGGCGACGGCGCCAACGACTTCTGCCCCATGGGGCTGCTGGCGGGCGGCGACGTGGCCTTCCCGCGCCGCGGCTACCCCATGCACCGGCTCATCCAGGAGGCGCAGAAGGCCGAGCCCAGCTCCTTCCGCGCCTGCGTGGTGCCCTGGGAGTCGGCGGCCGACGTGCGCCTGCACCTGCAGCAGGTGCTCAAGGCGTGCTGAGCCGCGCGGCCGGCAGGGGGCGCGCGCGGGGCGGGACGGCGCCCGAGGCTCTGTCCCCTTTCTGTCCCGCCCCTTCCTGCTCTGTGCGGCTGCGTCCCTCGGGGGCGGGGAGCGTGTCCGGAGGGGTCTCTGTCTATGCAGTTAACCCAACCCGGATGCCCACCCCCATCCTATGCCAAAGGATTTGGAGCCTGGCCCCGGGAGAGGCGTTTCCAAAACACCCTGTCTTCCGAGCTGGGAGGAAGGGCTGAGAAAGGGCATTTCCGGCGTCTCATAGCTTTAACTACTGGGCACGGAGGCGCACGCGCGTCATCCCGGCACTCGGGAGGCTGAGGCAGGAGGATCTCTTCGAGTTCAAGGCCAGCCTGAATGGCAGTGCCTTAGGCTGCAAAACCTCTCCCCTTCCCAAGAGGACCTCAGGTCGCCCAAATACTCGAGGCCCCCTCAATCCTGCAACAGCCACTACAACCCTGCACAATTTCTGTGCTTGCTACGCCTTCTTGCCTTCCCCCGCCCACCCCAGCACCCGCCAGAGAAAATAAAGTCGGGACACCGTCGCCCCCTGGTGGTGGCACGAGATAGTGCAAGGCCTGCGTACCGCAGTTTTGTCTATGCAGCCAGAGACTCGGACTTCACCGAAGCCGCCCCTCGTCCCACGTGGAGCAAAAGCCGTGAAGTTTCCAAACAGAGCCAGGGTACCCCACGCCGCCCGCTGTGTCTGAGCTATAAAGGTGGTGGCAGGGATCGAGTGACACATGTCCTGTGCGGCGTGGGGGGGGGGGGGCAGGGCCATCCGGGGTCCCGGGAAGGAGGCTGTCAGGAGCGAGGAACTCTTGGATCCCTGTCCCCCCGGACCGCCGCCCCCAGCCCTGCAGGCAGTCGTGGGCAGGTCGCGGAGCTTTATTCAGAGTTGTCACTTGGGGCTGGGGGCAGCGCCCTGCTCAGGTGAGGCCCTCCGTGGACGCAATCACAGCTCCGTGGGCTCCAGTTCTGTCCCCTCTGCAGCAGGCCTGGGGGCCCCTACTCTCCCCGAGACAATAGGGAGGGTTCAGAGACCCTCCTGCCTCAGCCTCGGGTCAGCAGCCGGGCACCACGTAGTTCCCCGGGAAGAAACCGGCGCCCTCTGCACTGACGCCCTCGCACCAGCCGTCCGAGTAGCGGCGTGTGACGCAGATGATCGTGCCCTCTGTGAAGGAGAGCTCGTTGTCCTTCTGGCGGGTGTAGGGGTACAGGGTCACCACTGCGGGAAGAGGGAGTGTGAGGTGGCGCCTGCCCCTCCCCGCGGGGACGCAGTCACAAGTCTGGGACGGGGAGGCCTCGCCACACGGCGGGGACCTCCACAGTGAGCAACTGCCAGCCGCCTGGCCAGCCGCTCCCTTCCCAGCTTGAGTCAAAACTCAGGTCATCGGAAAATTTGGGGAGGGCCGACTGTGGTGGTGCACGCCAGTAACCCCAGTGCACGGGAGGCTGAGGCAGGAGGGTCACCGCAGAGTTTAGGGCCAGCCTGAACTACATAGCAAGGCCCTTTCTCAAACAGGAAAAAAAGGCGGAGGGCGGGATGTGAGTAACAAGTTCACACGCGCAGAGCAGGGAGGGAGGGGTCCACGCGCGAACCTTTCTCCAAGTAGGCGTCGGGGGCCCAGCTGGGCTCTTCCAGTCCGAAGCCAGGCGGGGGCGGCGGCAACCCCAGGTCTTCGAGCTCCGGGGTCAGCTCTGCGGGGACGGAGCGGGGTGAGTAAGACCTCCGCAGCCCGTGCCCTCCAAGGGCTGGAGCGGGTGAGGCCGGGGTCGGAGGAGGACCTCGGCAAGGTCCCTTACGCCCGGCCGGCACCGCTGGTTCTATCTGTTAACTTTAAGATGAAAACAGGGTCTCGCTATGTAGTTCAGGCTGGCCTCCAAGCCGCGGGGCCCCCCTGCCTCAGCCTCCTGAGTCGCAGGATCAAATGCAGCGCCACCGCGCCTGGCCGTTTCCTCAGTTCTCCCCCCGGAACGCACATTGACGCTGTGCATAGCGGCCAGGCGGGGTTGGAGCCCAGAGGGGTGGGGTTTGGGGGGGTCCTCACCCGGCGGGGGCGGGCACAGCTCCACGCACGGGGGCGGAGGTGGCGGGGCCATCGCTTGCGGCTTGGGCGGGGCTGCCCCGGCGACGCCGTCGGCGCTGCTGAGGACGCGGAAAGCGGGGTTGGGGGGGGCTCTGCCACTCGGTGTCCCCGGCCGGCCCCGCTCCGATTCTTTCCCGCCCGGCGCGAGGCGCTCACCCGGCTGAGGCCAGCGACGAGGCGGAGGAGGCGGCGGAGAGGCGGCCGTCGGGCAGCGCGGGGGGCTGCACGGGCTCCGGGATCCGGGGCGCCCTCCTGGGGGGGG